TGCAGCGCCGCCCTCCTAGTTTTAAGCCGCGGACTTCAATTGCACGGCGTTCGTGCAATGAAGTGAATGCCGTGCCTGCGCTCCTACTCCGAACCCCAACAGCAGTTCTAACTGCTCACCTTGGGAGGGATTTCCCCTCTCCACCACCATACTCCAGCTGACAGTTCCCCTGTGTTCCCTCGAGGAAACTGTCGGCTAGAACCGGCTGCCTATCTTTTTCTCAGGAGCACCTCCATGCCATTCCAGCTTCAAAGGCTATCAGCTGCTCTGGAAACCTGCAAGGACGAACAACCCCAGTGAGAGCCTCATAACAATTCTATACTTCAACTACCACAGTGCCTGGCTTTTAATCCCTCATTTCCACCATCCAAGCTACTGCAACTACCGCTGTGACTTGCTGTTAACCCTTCATCTCTAGTACCTCAGCTACTGCAACTACCGCTGTGCCTGGCTGCTAAACCTTCATCTCCGCAATCCAGAGACTGATATCTCCATTGTGCTTCAACTGAACTGCAAGTATACAGACTCTATTTTTCTATTCAAGACTGCTCATTTGCATTCTATAGAAGTGTGTTAGCCTCTGGGTTACCTGGCGTTAACCCTGTGAACTGCCTACTAGATCTAAAACGAGATTAACCAGTGGCCCTATTCCCATAGTAATTTAAAACCTACATCCACACTGAGATCCAGTACATGAGACCTTCCTCCTTGTACGTTACAAGGGGTGGGGAACCTCTGGCCCTCCTGCTGTGGTGAAACTACAAATCCCATGATGCATCTGGCTCTGGGAGTCGTGCCTGTGAGAATCTTGCAATGCTGGAGGGCCGGAGGTCCCCCCCGCTACACAGTATTGGGGAAGCATCCACCCTGCTGCTGCTCCTGCTTTGCAAAGAGCCACGTAAAAATTATTTGTTCTGGCCGTCCTCTACAGGGACTTTGGTCACCTCCCAGCCATCCAACTCTCACCAGCCACAAGTTGTCAGGGTTATGCGAGCCATTAAGGCCTTGCCTCATACTGTGTGCCTTGCATTGCCATTACTGCCATGTGGTCATAACATGTCTAATGCTAGACACGGAGGGGAAATTCAATGTGTACCTGGTGCTCCCAGCTCACACTCTACTAATGTCTTCTGCAGCATGCATACTGATGTGGCCTAGAGTCTATCCCATCTATGGAGTCTTCGTTGGCTTTGTCAGGTGTAGCTGTTTCCTCTGCCCTCTGAGCTGAGGTTTTTCTACAGTCATGCAAGATTTGGCAAAGTCTTAGCCATTAGCTGCTTTGACTCCGTCTGATTCAGAGTCATGCTAGTCTTTACTTGAAAAAAATTGCCTTTGAGGAGTCGCATTCCCCTGCCATCACTCTCCAATTAAAATATATCATTTTGGCTCTTCTTGATGCTGTGCGCACCACTCTAAAACTAGAGGATCAGCTTGTTGCTTCTCTCAGTGCTAATCCTTCCCAGTGCACCCCCCTGTTCTAAGTTTCCTTCTATGGAGATTGGAAACATCCTAATAGGAGGTTATTAGCTTTGTACCCACTAGAAGAGCTCTTTGTCAAATCCACAGTGGGAGTAGGCCACTTTTATACAGTGTCCTGCCTTAACAAAGTGACCACTATAAGTAGCTGAAATGAATAAATATACCAATGGACCTGTCTTAATGACCCAACTGATAAATGGTTGGAAGCTCTCTCTAGAGCTCTGTTCTCATTAGCAGGTCCCGTTATTAAGCCAATCTTGGATGACATTCAAAGTCCCTTCTAAGGGATCTCGTCACTGCTGCAGTTGGTCACTTGGTTAAAGAATGTTAAAGCCAAGGGATGTAGCTTTCAGCTGTAGTTGTGTGTCACGTACCTTGGTATGAGCCCGAATTGACGAGGAGGGCCTCCCCTTGCGGCTCCCGTCTGCGAACCTCTGGAGGTGGATCAGACGGTAGACAGGTTGGAAGTAGCACGGGGGCCAGGAGTGTTGCTGCTGATATTTTTAGATGATTTTCTTTTGAGAGAACAATTGGCACAGGCTCTGCCAGACAATGTGGCTTTGACTGTCCAGATATTACAGCAGTTCTTTCCTGTCCTTTTGGAAGTTCCTCACGGTTGATGACAGCCTCCCAGGCTGCAGAGGAGTCCTGGGCACCTTGTTGGTGGGGGCAACTTAGTCATCATCGGTCTCCCAATCACAATCCTAGAGCTTCAGGCAATTTGTCTTTCTGCAGCATTAGGCCATCCTGCTGGATGATCATCTGATCTAAATCCAGTTGGACAATGCCATGGCAGTGATCCTTATGGAATGACCAGAAATCTTGCAGCAGCAAGAGAGGTAGATTGCATCCTGTCCTGGGCAGAACTTCATATTCCAGCCTTTTCTGGTGTGTACATCTAAGGTGTGGACAATTGGCAGACAGACTTCATCAGCCCACAATGTCTGGACCCAGGGGAGTGATCTCTACACCTAGAGGTGTTCCAGGACCTGTGTGGCAAATGGTGTATGCTGGATATGGACCTTCTGGCCTCCCAGGTTCACAAACCAACTATAGGCTTCTCTTCAGGTACAGAGATCCTCTAGAGGAAGCAGTGGATGCTTTGTTGATTCCATGGGATCAGTACACCCTTATGTATGCCTTTCCTTCCCTGAAACTTCTTCCTTGTCTGGCAAGATAGAGAAGGAGGGAATTCCATATGCCTCACTGCTCAAGATTGGTGGATGCTCCATGTTCTCTACCAGATCGTCTATCTCAAGGACAGGATCTGAATTTAATTCTATCTCATGTTCAGAAACATTGGAACGCTGGAACAAAGTACAAGCTTCTTTTTGGCAAATTAAACCCTTCTTGGCCCCATAGACTTTAACAGAAACAATAAAAAAATGCGCGTTTGCGGGTATTTTATGCGCGTTTGCTCATTTACATCAATGTGTCAGAATCTGCTAGCAAGCAGTAGATATATGCAAAAAGTAAAAAAAAAAAAAAAACTCTTTAAAAGCGGTTTAAACTTACACCTGTCTTTGCCGCACGCTCCCATCCGAAAATGCTCGGGCGGCCGCAAAGCATCTTGGGGAGGGCGCATGCGCAGTTCGGATTTTTTACCGGGAGACGAGGAGAGACACAAGGTAGGTCTATGGAAGCGTGCACCAGCATGCAGACACCGGGGGACAGGAAGTGCCTGCAAGCACAGAGGAGTCAGCGCTGGATCGGAGACCCGCCGCAGCGCTGGAGAGAAGGCTGAAAAGGACAGGAAAGAAGAGAAAGATCGGATTAAGAAACATCATTTAAGGTAAGTGCTGACCCTAACATTGGGGGGAGGGAAAAAAGTTTTTGCCTTTTTAATGTCTCTTTAATATAATGTTAAATTATTATGCAATGTTCTACAGGACAGTCCCTCAAGAAGCTTACATCTATTCCTGACACCGTCAGGCAGGCAGAGAGAAAAGATGAAGAGGATGTTCACATTCGGTGTAAATCCCTTGCCTCCAAGGCAAACATGCTGATTACTTATCCACTGTCCTGGCATGACGCGCGTACTAATGACGGGCACCTCCTATATAACAAACTTACACTTGTGGCCTCCACCCACCTAATTCACTTTCGAATTCTGTCAATTACATCAGATCATTTGAGTGTAATTCTTTGCTCTGTGAATGGCCATTATGGTATAATGAGCAGCTGTTGGCTGTCTAATTTGATGTGTGCGCAAAATAGTCACTATAATCATATGGGTACAGAAATGAGGTGAAGAAATGCAGATCCTTTTAAAGAAATGCATGTCTTTGTTATTATCTAGAATATTATGCAGTTTTTATTTTGCGATCGTCAAGCCGATAGCATCACACGTTTGCCTTTTTTTAAAGAATGCTTCTCGTTGCCAAAGCAGCAAACACATATTTTTTTTCCTTCAGACATATTAATAAGGGCTGTTATGAATATATTTTCATAAACTATTAGAACTTTCCAATTTTTTCACACTGTTGGTAACTGTTTTAGAAACGCTCTGAATACTGAAAAATAGCCTGGATGGGAAGGGGGTTTAACACCGCGGATGTCAACTGGTTAAGTACATTGAAAGGCTTCTGTATAACAGACTTGGCAAATCCAGTTACTGTGTCATGGATGAAAAAACTTTCTTAACCTACCCTGACTGATCCAAATCCTTCTTTTTGTGTTTTCACATGCTCCCCTCCAGACACTGCAGCTAACAGTGGGGGGGTTCAGCAACAGAGGCAGTGCTGCAATCCAGAAAGCAGGGGGCGGGACTCGGTATGGCCAGGTACCGATTGACAAGGTACAATGCTGACAGCCATGCCCCTTCTCATCCCATTGTGCAGTGCAAGCAGATACAGCCCACATGAGTGGCAATGCTTCTCTGAATTCAGTGAAAAACTAAATTTAAATATGTATTTCTATATTGAATTTCCCTAAGATCTATCCTGCTCCTAATAACCATATCCATCTAGGAGAATCTAACTGACTTATTGAAGATACCCATGTAAATAGGCACTTCCTCGTGCTCATCATCTGAACATGGTAACATTATCATTGCTTGCTGGAAGCAATGCATGATGGACAATGAAGTCTTGAGAAATCGAGATTACATCACATAGAGCAGCAGGGAAAGAGATGCAAAGCACACCGGAATCCAGGAAGTTGATGAAAGTGATGGGCAGACAGAAGGCAGCACTCACTACATAAAAGGGATTTTTTTTCGAGTAAGCTTTGATTGTATTATGAAAAACAACTCTAGTATGTATTCCTATTACACTGCTGATGTTATACCAGGATAGTATATGCCGTGACTTTTGGAACTCCTTTAAGTGCTGCAGCATAAGATTTGGGGTAGACAGGGAGACAATTAGAACATCTATCAGGCTTTTATTGTCATCTCTGTCCTTACTGAGACTTGATTTTCCCTCTTCCAGTTAGGACAGGAAGTGAAGGTAATTTCTACACATATCAGAGTAGGGTACGTGTAGAACTTTTAGTAAGTAACCTTTCTTTTTTCTTTTTAGAAATTGGGGACCAGCTGACATGAAGAAATCTTCGAGTTAATCAACATTCCTTGGCACGTGGTAAAGAAACACCTTGCAAGATGGGGAACAGCTTGCCTTCTGCAGCCACCATTGTTCGGTTCTGCCAGAAACTGAACAGGGTGAAGACGCTGGAAGATGACTTAATGGAGACATCGCTAAAAAGATGCCTTTCAACTGTTGACCTCACCCTGTTAGGGGTGGGTGGCATGGTGGGTTCTGGTCTTTATGTACTTACTGGCACTGTAGCCAAGGAAATAGCAGGCCCAGCCGTGGTCATATCATTCCTTATTGCCGGAATTGCCTCTCTACTTGCAGCTCTGTGCTATGCCGAATTTGGTGCACGGGTGCCAAAAACTGGTTCTGCATACATGTTTACGTACGTTTCAGTTGGCGAACTTTGGGCATTTCTGATTGGCTGGAATGTGATCTTAGAATATATGATTGGTGGTGCAGCTGTAGCAAGAGCTTGGAGTGGCTATCTGGACTCCATATTTGACCACAAAATAAAAAACTTTACTGAAACTCACATTGGAACTTGGAATGTGAAGTTCTTGGCCCACTACCCTGATTTCCTCGCTGCGGGAATCTTGCTGTTTGCCACAGCATTTATAACATTTGGGGTTAGAGTGTCGTCCTGGCTGAATCACATCTTTGCTGCCATTAGTATGGGAATCATATTGTTCATCCTTATATTTGGCTTCATCCTTGCAGAACCAAAGAACTGGTCAGCTGAGCATGGGGGCTTTGCTCCCTTTGGGTTTTCCGGCATTATGTCTGGCACTGCCACGTGTTTTTATGCCTTTGTTGGGTTTGACGTCATTGCAGCATCAAGTGAAGAAGCACGGAATCCTCAGAAAGCCATTCCCATTGCAACAGCTGTGTCTCTAGGCCTTGCTACAGGGGCTTACATCCTGGTGTCCACTGTCCTGACTCTCATGGTGCCTTGGAATACATTAATACCGGACTCTGCCCTTTCTGATGCTTTTTACAGGAGAGGCTATTCCTGGGCAGGATTTATTGTAGCTGCTGGCTCTATTTGTGGTAAGTTACATATATGAAGTGCCTTTTTGTTTAGCAAGTTTCTAGCACATTCAAAAATGTATCTTCTGTAGCGGTTGCAGGTAAACAACATGGGCTCAGTTCACAATGTTTTAGCGTAAGGGTAACAATCTGTTTGTTTTTTATTTTAGCCACGTGATTTATAATTGGCAAATCTTATTGGACTCTCCTTTAACACAACTGTCACTGTTGTAAAAATAAGGATCCTTATACTGACGTTGGCTTTCTGAATTGAGCCTTGGGTGTGCAACTATTATCAATAATAAATGTCTTCCCTCCTCCACAGCTGCCATTCAAACTTAGACCCGCATTGAAAAATAACAGCTGGAGCAGGAAAGATAAAAACAGGACAAAACACACAGGTCTTACATCAGGCTCATTGTTGGTTCTAGATCACAAACTACAATGTACACAACATATAGCAGCATTCTCTGCACTGACCGCATGTGTACATAGTGCAGACACAAAACGCCAAACTGAAGCAGCATTCAGAGTTTGACATGCTCACTTTCACCCCGTGCAATACAAAGCATACAACCTGGCATTATGAGACATAAATCCGCTTTCATTTATTCAATTGTCCTGATTTATGTGGATGCTACTTTGAGAATGCCCTCATGGTCTACTACAATGGCTGGGAGTATTTATATCAAGTGTTCTCAAGGTCATTATGTTCAAAGAAAATCTGGAGCAAGCACATGTATTCACATGGCTTTGTTAGTTTACTGTGAGGAAAAATAATGGGTCGGCAAGTCCAGCAGCATATTGGAAATTATCACTCCTAGTCAGTTTTAATAAGTTGTCCTCAATAATATTCAGGACTTGGTGTACAAGATTTGCCTGTAGTGACAGCTATTGATTGTGTTTTAGTTGTGTGTTCTCCCTATACAAAAATGCACTACTCCTCTCAAATGTATTTAACATGGTATTATCCTTTTCACATGGGCTTCTATCTGCTCCGATCAGCAGGGGAACCTGTCACAGATACCCTGCTGATTGAAGCAGTATGGAACTGATGCCACTTTTGTGACATCCATGCCCATTCAGTTTTCCTCTCCATCTTGTGATGGAGAAAAAATGAAATAAATGGCCCCATGTTAGGTCCATAGGCAGCCAAATGTAAGCAGACATACTAGATGTCCGTTTATATCCAATTACCTCTAAACCATCACGTTTAGGTCCGGAAAAAAACAGAGAAGGATGCAAAAGCATCCCTACAGCATGATGCTGCCACTATTATTATTCTTAATAGGGATGGTGTTCTTAGGGTGATGGGAAATGTTGGGTTTGCATCACACGTAGCGTTTTCCATGATGACCAAAAAGCTAAATTTTAGTCTCATCGGGGGAATCTTCTTCCATGTGTTTGGGTAGTCTACCACATGCTGTTGGCGAACTCCAAACATGTATTCTTATTTCGTCTTTTTTCTTTTAGCAATGACTTTTTTTTTGCCCACTTTTCCATGAAGACCCACTCTGTGGAGCGTACAGCTTAAATTGGTCCTATGGAATGCCTTTCTTACCCGGTCTGTTTTGGTGGGCGGCCTTCTCTTGTCAGGTTTATAGCGGTGGCATATTCTTTCCATTTTTTTCTAATGGATTAAATGGTGCTGTGTGGGATATTCAAAGTTTTTTGGGATTTTTTTTAATTTTAATGTATTTTTTTTATAACCCAAACGTGATCTATACTTGTCTAGAACTGTGTGTGACTTGTTTGGACTTCTTTTTGATCTACATGTTGCTTGCTTAGTGGTGGTGCAGAGTCCAGGGCCTTTCGGAACAGGTGTATTTATACTGACGTGACAGATCATGCGACACTTTGATTGCACACAGGTGGACCCTTATGAATTAATTATGGGACTTCTGAAGTTAATTGGTTGGGCATATCTTATTTAGGGGTTTCATAGCAATGGGGGTGAATACTTATGCACACTCAAGATTTCTGTTTTTATTGCCTTTTCATTATTGCTTGTGTCACAAAAAAAATGTATTTGCACCTACAAAGTGGTAGGCATGTTGTGTACGTCAAATGGTACAAAAATCCGTTTTAATGTCTCGTTATAACGGAACAGGAAAAACACCAATGGGGTGAGTACTTTTGAAAGGCATTGTATTTTTGTGATGGAATGAGACATGTAGATACCTTCTGGGATGACTCTACCGTGCTTAGATATATAATCACATTGATCATGATTTCAGGAGAGAGGAATGAGAAGACCTCTCATGATGGGTATAAGAACAATAAATAGAGAAGGAGCTTTAGAAGAACCCTGCCCTCAAGAGATGGCTGCTTGCTTTTGCTTAATATATACTGCTTCAGTTTGTAATTCCTTAGTATTTAAAGGTGAACTATGAGGTGAGTGATTTACACTATTCCTCATGGAGCCGACGTGTGGCAATACAACTTTAACATGTCGGCTTTATTGATCAGGAAGTGGGCGAACACATACCGCCACTCGCTCACTTCCCGATCATCTCACTGCAGAGAGAGGTGACCATCAGTCACTACTCCCCGCAGGGATTCCCCCCTCTCTGATCCTCCAGTGCTGACTGGGTGGATGGACGGGGAGGGGGCCAGCACAGCTGGCTTTGCCTCTAGATAGGCATAGCCCGCTGTAAATCAGCCAGCTGGGTGGATCCAGACAGTATTGTTGGGATCCGTCCCGGCTGCGGCACTCTAAGTATATAGCGGGCAATAGCTACGGGAAGTCCCCATAACCACGGGAGGATGTTAGTATATCTCCTCCTCTGACCCTAAAGAGAACTATGGGATAAAAAGGTCACCACATAATTCTCTTTTAAATGTGGGGGCTGCCATTTTGGACTCCTGATAATGCTAGCTTAGTAGATATTATAATGACTCACTAGCTTTTAAGTGCATCTATAACCAAAAACAGACTTTTTTTTTTTTTATATTGCAGCTTACTATGTTCCAGGCTTTGTTTTTTTCTTCACCTGGTGATCTTTCTAGTAACATACTACATGTCCTAGTATGACAATACTCCCTTAATAAGCTGTGTAAATGGAGAAATAGCGTTGTCATCTTAGACAGGTAGTGTGTTAGAACTGCAGAACACTTTCCCCTTCTCTCACCTCCCATAAGAGAGACTAGGTGTTCCGTAGTCCACACAGGTAAACGGGGCAGGACAATGTTTTATGAGTCACTGACATGGAACATATAGCGATATCGGGGAAGTCAGATTAAGTCGGTATAGGCATGGTTTTTCTGCATCAGGGATTTTATTTATGGAAGGGGGTCAATATGGCAACCAGGCAACTATTGTTTTCAGAAATAAAGGTCAGTTTTTGTTTTCCGTGTGACTGGTTTCTTTTAATGCAGGAGGCAATACTTGGCTCTCCCCACAGTAAATTTAGGTCTGGACTGTTGGGTCATATAGATATAATTCTGTGGAGGACTTCCTTGGGGGGGAAAACTAAACCTTTTGAAGGCAATCTTGCTATGTTAATAAATATAAATCCATAACCATGTGTACTTTATGCTGCACTACAGACATTTTGACAGCTTTTTTTTAGCAATGTGACCTTTTTTCTTTTTTTTAGTGTAATAACAAAGGACAAAGAGGATGATTTGCATTTAAGAAGTTTAACTATTCACGTTGAAACTAGCCTGTGACTGGCTGCTGGGCTGCTACTTTATACCACTGCTGCTTTACATATTTATAAGCTCTAAATTGTGTTCTATAATTATGGGAAGTACGATGTTGTTAACTTGCTGTTTTTATTCTTTTTTTAAAGCTATGAATACGGTTCTACTAAGTAACCTCTTCTCCCTACCAAGAATTGTGTATGCCATGGCTGAAGATGGACTTTTCTTTCAGGTCTTCTCCAAAGTAAACCCAACCACCAAAGTACCAGTCATTGGAATTGTGGTTTTCGGTATCCTGATGGCTATCCTTGCCCTCATTTTCGACTTGGAAGCCTTAGTGCAGTTTTTATCCATTGGCACATTGCTAGCCTATACTTTTGTTGCAGCCAGTATCATCGTATTGCGATTCCAGCAAGAGAAAAGTGAAACTTCATCTGCAGGTGACCTAGAGCCAAGTCCTCAGCACCAAGAGCTTGGAATCAATGCAGATAGGATCATTGGTGAAGAGATGAAGGAATACGAGTCTTTCTCTGATAAGCTTCAGCTGGTTGAAAGTCAGAAAAAAGCCAAAGAGCGTAGAGAAACTGGACACTTGAAAGCTGCCTTTGAACCATACCTTAGGTTCCTGAGTGACTTTTATCCTGGAGAGGTGGTCACGATTGCAGTTGTGGCACTGATGGTCTCTGCCATCTGCATGTGTTGTATTTTGGTTTTTGGAAGCAATCAGTTACATCTTCCCACATGGAGTTTTTATCTGCTGATTGTGATCTTTCTGATTGGGTTCTTAATCAGTCTGTTCTTAATCTGGGTCCACGAGCAGCAAAAGAAAATAAATACGTTTCAGGTAACTATGGTTCAGGAAACCTTTTCCAGCTCATATACTACATACTACCACAATGTTGATGTAAACATGATGAGTTGATGTTTTGGTTCCTATAAACAGATGTAGTATCTGGAAGTTGTTACAGATAAGAAAAGGTCACCGGTACATAATAAAAGTATGACTCTCATCCAGCATTTTCCTGGTTGCTGGAAAGGCCAATGTTTAACACCCAGGAGCATGCAACTGTAAGATCTTGGCTTAGTAGAAATATTGGATCAGACCATTCCCAAATCTAATTTTGCAGTCTGTGCTGTAGCTTTATCTTCAAAAGTACAAATGTGTATTTTACTGGGATGAAATAATAATAATAATAATAATGATGGTTGTAAGTATGTGTCCCCCCTTATTCCATAGAGTACTTGGAAATTGTTTTTGGAGGTTTTAAGGCTGAACTTGTAGAAATTTACTTGGGGGGGGAATTGTAGAGATTACATTTCTAAAGGTGCCCATACACCTGCCGATTTATCATACGATAATCGCAGGAAATCCCGCAATCGTACGATAATCGCAGGTGTACGGAAGGTGTGCGACCGTTTCTACTGTACGGTCGCACGTCTTGTCTCCCGAGCAGGCTCAAAAACCCGCCGAGAATCGTACGATTGTCGGCGGGTTAGTGACGTTCTCGGCAGACAAGTGCCGCACGGGTTGTTGTGCGCAAGCGCACACTGCCTGTGCGGCATTGGAGTCATCGGAAGCCCACCTCTCGGGGGGGCGAGCTTTCGATGATCGCAAGTACGATCTGCCTGTCCAAGATGGGCAGATCGTACGAGCTTTTAATTACTTAACAACCATCGCACGACTCAAGTCGTGCAATGGTTGTAAAGTGTATGGCCAGCTTTAAGGTGATTTTTGGGATCACTCACTCGAGCGCAGTGTAATTTGGATTTCATTGAGCTGATTCGTGTGTATGCCATACAAATTGAACACAGGGCTTTGTGGCCCTTTACTGTGGATTCCAAATGTATGCTGCATGGTACCAGCCCCTGTTTCGGCATCTGAGATTAAAGCACAGGTGGATTCTAGTATGGATGCACTGATACTGACACTAGTATCGGTGCCGATTTATTAATATTTGGGCGAGTACTCGTACTGATCCAAATGCTCCCGATACTTATCCCGATACCGGAACTTCCAGTATCAAGAAGCTGGGCAGCGGGTAATAACTCGCCCCCCGGCTTCCTGATTGGCCGGGAAGCCGGCTCCATGCTACCTCGTCACTACAGGAGCATGGAGCTGGCTTCCCGGCCAATCATGAAGCCGGGCGGCGAGTCATTACCTGCCCCCCGGCTTCCTGATTGACCAGGAAGTCGGCACCATGCTTTCTTGTCACTTGGTGACGAGAGTGCATGGAGCTAGCTTCAAAGCCAGTCAAGAAATGGGGTGGCGTGTAATGACTTGCCGCTCAGCTTCCCGATTTAGTCAGGAAGCTGGCCAATCGGGAAGCTTGGCGGCGAGTCATGACCCGCCCCCGGCTTTTCTGATTGGCCAGAAAGCCGGCTCCATGCTTCCTTGTCACCTGTTTAAACAGGAAGCCGGACGGCAAGTCATTACACGCCGCCCGGCTTCCTAATGGGACTTTCGGTATTTGGGCGAGTACCAGAACAAAAATATCTTGGTACTCGTACATCCCTAGTTTCTACATTCTGCCAATTTTCTTGCTGTCTTTTCATATTCTTGTACAAGTTTAAGTGTTTTCTCCCCAAAATGTGTTGCAATATGTCTGTGAAGGTTCTCATTCATCCAGCTAATGGTATGACCACCACAAAATCTTCCAGAAAAATACAGCAAGACCAGTTGCCTTTGATTTTTTTTTTGTACAGATATAGCATGACCTGAATGAATGAGAACCTTCACAGAACTCATATAAAAGTTTTTTGGCTTTGTTGACTTAACTGTGATATAGGTTAGTATGTTGTGTGTGCATGTTTAGTTTTTAATACAGTATTTGTCAATCTTAAACCCATAGGTTCCATTTGTACCACTAATTCCAGCTCTGAGTATCCTCTTAAACATATATCTCATGCTCAAGCTAAATTACATGACATGGATACGGTTCTCAGTATGGCTTGTTGTTGGTAAGTTTTAATTGTTTTCCACTTCTAATCCCAGGTTTATTTTGATTCCTATCCAGCCCTATAGTGGGTGGCACTGTTATGAAAAATTAGCTTCCAAAGTCATTGCCAAATTAAAGTATTTAGTGATCTTCTCAGTCTCGTATTTAACAAAGCTGACCTTTTTTATACCAGAGAATGTATTACTATAGCCGTGTGTGCACATTTGCAAAAGGTAGTACTTTGCTCTGTGAAAGTATTGCTCTAAATTTTGAGTGAGGTACTTTCCATGCATTTTAATAACATTGGCCTAGCTGGTTTATCAAGGAGATTTGTGTAAAAGTGCAACTCTGTATACTGGCCCAACCTTAGCCACAGCAATACAATATAAACAGGAAATCATAGTACATGCTGTGTTAGTTTGGTTTTATGTAGCATTAGTGTTATATATATATATAGTTATATATTACAGGATGGAAGAAAACATAACAATAAGAGATTAAAAAGTATAAACGTTTTTTTTGTTTTAAATGCAGCATCACAGTGACTGATGAAGGCAAGCTAAAGCTGGCCATACACTGTAATATTTTCTTCGTTGTGCAGTGAATAAAGAAAATATTACAGATTCTTCCTTCAACACTTATGAGTGTTGATCGAGGAATCTCCTGCTGTTTGCAATGTATTTTGACAACGGCCGGTGCCGACAATGGCACCCACTGTGCAAATTTCAGCCGGTTCATCAAGAACTGGCCAAAAGTCGTATAATGTATGGCCACCTTAAGTGAAATTGGGTTAGGATGTATACATGGTTAGATTGTAGACTGATTCAAAATAATTTGCTTTGTACAACAATTTCTAATTGTATGTAAATGATCACCCTAATTAGTTTCCCAACGTCCCTTAGATCAACAGTACTTTTCCTGATTCATGCTGAGATAATGGTTCCTTTACTGGCATATAGGGTGTTTCACATGAAACCTTCTAGCAGAGGAGCTGAACCATTACCATTCTCTGTTCTATGAGTGTACTTTATTTCTGGATTCTCTCTGAAGGCACCATTGGCCAGTGTTTCCAACTAGCCATTGTACGTATACAGCTTCCTTAACGTTAATTTGCTAACCAGAGCCAAGATTTCAACTGATACTTAAAGAAACTGTGTCACTACCCCATGCCTACTGAGAGGACTATGTTATGTGAATGCATTTACAATACAAGCAATGGCTGACTTTCTTTTTTAGTATTCCTGTTTTAAAAGTGCTGTACTTCCAACATTACTTTTGAAGTGTCTGAGGCTCATTGCTCTAGCCTGACTCTACAGCTCTCCCTCCCTAGCTCTGCAGTCACCTGTTCTCCTGACAGCCGATGGGGAAACCACACGTCAGCTGTATAGACTGTTTATGTAGATCATGAGAGCCTTCCTTGGCTGCTGTTCTAGGTATTAGAATAGAGTAGGATAAATACATAGATAATGACAGTTACATAGAAAACAAAGCAAAGTTGTTTTATGAAGCTAAAAAAGAAAGGTTATAGTCTCCAGAACAATGCTCCCGACTATGTGGGACAGGTGTTCACAAAATATTGACATATATGCTGCAAGCCCTCTTAACAGTATGATTTCTTGGCATATGGCTCCTAAAGAACCCAGCTATGGCCCCTGTCTAATAATAATTCGTGCCTCGTTGCACCAAAGGAAGCATTAATACCGTAAGAGTGCCCTTGTCATTCACCTGTGTGTTTCCTGTGAAGAGAGCTGTACAGCAGGAGATCCGATTACACCAGGCTGTTCACAGTAAAATGACTTAACTGAATTGTTTTGAGAAGCCTTGAATGTGCCACCTGCTGCTTTTATATGGTAAATCTTAATATATGACATTTCATATCGATCTAGGTAAACAAAATATTTTTAGCCTTGGAAATAAACAGCACGATTACTATACACTGCCCAGCCCCCAAAAAAGTCACACACTCTTTAATATTTTGTTGGACCACGTTTACCCCTGATTACACATTCACTGTGGCATCGTTTCCATAAGCCTATGCAATGTCACAACATTTATTTCGATCCAGCGATGCAATTATTTTTCACCAAGATCTTGTAGGGAGGAAGGTAGAGTTGGACCACTGAGTAAAGTCTTCTACAGCACAGCCTAAAGATTCTCAATTGGGTTAAGGTCTAAACTCTGTGGTGGCCAATGCATGTGTGAAAATTATGTCTCATGCTTCTGAATCACTCTTTCACAATTGTAAACCTGTAAATCGTAGGGTGAAGGGGACGGTGTTCTTTAGTGAGTGCCACACCCCTGATAAATTGGTTAGAAAGAGAAAATGTGGGGTTTTTTGGGCACTTTGAACAACACTTTGCAAGAGTGTTTTTTATATAAAAAGTATACATTTTATTCAATACATTATTAAAATGGAACAAATTGACTAGTAAAAACCATAAGAGGGAGCACCTCTAATCTCCACCAATACCCTCAGATACAGTTAGCATCACTGGTCAGGCTAAGTAGTACAACTGTATAATAATTCTCTAGTTTTTGGTTGACACAGTTCAATTTGATAGGCAGTCTGTAGCAATTGGTCAGGTGTAGTATAGAATGTGTGGCAGAAAAAACTGCATAGATGTTTGGGACCCTCCGATAGGTCAAGGTGAGCTGGATATTGAGCCCAACCAGACCTAATCTAATAGGTTTATCACGGTAGCTTGGATAGAGTCCACCTGATCTTAGATTGCTATTGAGACTGCGTCGATTGATGTGTCTCAACCAGTGTAACAGGTTAGTCAACAATTGGTAGAGTAAACATAGTAAACTTGATGAATCCTGACATTGTCATCTTGGAATATGCCCATGCCATCAGGGAAGAAAAAAATCCATTGATGGAAAAACCTGGTCATTCAGTATATTCAGGTGGGCAGGTGACCTGATTTTTTTTTTTTTTGGCGGGGAGACAAAACATTGCTGAGCCTAGACCATACCAGATCATAACACTGCTCGTGACTTTTTTTTTTTTTGACCGGGCAGTGTATATACAAAAATGCTATGTTTCTGTAAAGTGTTTGCTGTGCGTTCAGAACTCTGATGGCAATGGTTAAATCAGAAAATTAAATATTCAATAAACCAAGTTTGGTGGGTATAGTAGACTACATATTAGAAGATGTTGACAGGATTTCACTTTAGTCCTGAACAAACAGAGCTTTTTTCTGTCGCTGTTTTTCTAAGCTCTACATGTTTTTAGCTTTGGTAATTGTTTTCTACAAAGTCACTAACGGTCAGTGATGTTTTTATTACATTCTCTGTTGATCAGCGAATGACCTATTTATGCTGGTGGAAAGTGGCATAAA